TCTCTCTTCTAGTTTTCTAACAAAAAGGTAGAACGATCATAAAGAAAACCTATGAAAGAAAAAGGGCTGGTTTTCAAGGGATATGGCACAATGGAGGGATGAATGGCATCCTTCACACCAAGGGAATCCAAGAACTTGCCAACTCCAGCTTAAACAGGAGTGAGGCTATTTAGAAGGCAGAGGGGCACTAATCACAGCTACCCTTGCTGAGACATTTCTTCCCCCAACACAACCTATAGAAAAGAATGTTACTCCAAACTCCTTTGAACTTTTAAGAGACAGCTAGTACTGCCATAGCTCTTTCTGAAGTATATGCACAAGATGAAATTGAGATAAGTGTGGAATGGAAAAAGTACTTTATTTATCATTTACAGGTTGGTTTGTAAAAACCCAGCCTGCAATTTCACATACTTGTCCTTTTTTTGAAGGGGATGTTGGGGGGAAAACTAGGGAAGAGGCATTTTTCCAAACCTGTGAATGCAATGTTCAGCAGCCAAGCTGAAAAGTTCCTGCTGCTCCTGCAAAAAAAGGACAAACAAGCCCTTTTCATGTCAGCTATGTCCTGCTGGAAATGTCACAGCTTTGTCACAATGGAACAAAGCATGCCTGGTGTCTGTTCTTTCAAAAGGTCTCTTAATTCAAACAAAAGAAAAATATTCACATCTGGAAGGGGTCGAAGGCAGGGGGTGGGAGGGGAGGAAGCAAAGTTCAGATGGCATGTCATAGGATTGCTGTTTGTCTAATTATTGTACTGCCTGTTCTGGCACTTACTGATCCAGTTAGAGAAAGAAAGCCAGGGAGTTAAACAATTTTTTAATTGATTGACTTCAAGGGGTCAGATGAGACACACCTCTTCACTTTTGCTCTCTTCATCATTCTGCAACACTCAGACTGAGAAAAAAGGACCCTTTTTAATCAGTCTGGGAGTGGTTTCTCTTCTTTATTTGTTAGAGGAAGAAAGTAAAATTGTTGTATGAGCTTGCTTTAAAAAGCTCACTTTGACATGCACAGGACGTACATCCTGAAGGGCTGCCCTTTCCAATGGGTTTATTTGAGCATCTGTTTCTGCGGAGATTAAAGCCTTCTAATGACTGCAGAGCTGGGAGGCTGTATCAGAACTGAGCCATGGGAAAATCAAAATCTAAGTGTCTAGTGATGTGAGATCAGAGGGGAAGAGAATAAACTTGAGAGTAGGACTTCACTGCCTAGGCTCAAAAAGCTAACAGCAAGACTGTATTAGTGCTAAACTCTTATCTCCTTCAGCATTCAGGGCTTCCAAAGATGAAAAGCCTCTCCTAGGCTGCCACCTAGCTAGTTAATTCCTTGTATTGTTTTAGGAGCTATTTTAAAACGCTCTTCTGCTCCAGCCCTTACAGCACTGACTCCTCCCTTCTGAGCCGGTATTTTGTCAGGAGTTTCAAGAGCGATAAAAACTTGCTGCCAAGTCCCTTTCTTCCTTGCAATGTGTTTTATAACCCAGCGTGTTGTTCAGTCTGTCCAAACACTACACCAGTACACTGCCACCAGTTTCCATGGAAATGGTTAACTCCTTCACGGCCAGAAGGCTTTAACGTGCTTTTTGCCATGAAGAACATGACAGCATGCACTAAGATCTCAACCTGCAGAAGCACTGCATTTTCCAACACTTCTAGCAAAGGCTTTACTTTTGCTTCAACCTATCACACCAAATTGCAGTCTTAACCAAACTTGCACTTAAGTCATCCTATAACATGAGCTGCTCTCTTCCCACACGCATCTCAGCATTGCCATCGTGTCTGAAGGCATCATGACCCCACTGACATCAACTTTCTGAATGCCACCACCTGTGAAAAAGCAAAGGCATGAGACACAAGGACTCCAGAATAGACAGACAGGAGATGAAGGACATGACTTCAAAATCAACCAGAAACGAGAGCAGCAAACAGGAAAACTTCCTGCCCTACAGTTGAGGAGCTCTGCTGTATGAAACAAAATAGTTTATTCTGCTCCTAGTCATTGCACATTGACAAAAATATACTGGCATCATAACAGAAACTTATTTAATATCAGTTTTCTCAAAAAATTAAGTTGACTGAAAAACTAGCTCTAATCTACTACAACATGACCTAACCAGAGCACCAAAGGAGATCTCCCAAAACACAGCAAATGAAGGCCATGTACTATCAGCAGCTTTAGCTGTGGAAAAGTGGGTTTCCATCCTTACTGTCACAAAGGACAAGCTCCCTGGCAGCTGCCACTCGGGTGGCACGCTTGTTAACCCAAACTAAAAAACAGAGGCAGAAATATGGATATTCAACAGAACTTTCAACCGCAGTTTCCTGGAAGGATTCCCCACTCTAAAACTACTCTATAAATATTTTCCAGGCTCTCATCACTAAGGCAAACGGAGCCTTCCCAGCACTTTTAACATGTAATGTTTTCTTCTGGCATTCAGACACTCTACAGAAACGAGAACTGAACAACCAAACACAGCCACAGCTTTTGCACAGAAGTGCCAATAAGTTTGGCTAAAAGCAAAGTCACTGGCAGGGTTTGTAGCAAGAACTGTACTGTGACTTCCAAAGGAGCCACTTGGAGGGTTTCCTTGCAGACTCTGCTTGGTGTTGGTGACAAGTGGGAAAAAACAGCCCCTCCATACACCGCACTACTACAACAACCGATGGAGGTGCAAGAAAACTCCATGCGCGCACTCTGCTCACAGCTGCCAAGGTGACAGCCCATGCGGACTGTCAGGAGGACACGTGTCCGGCTGTAGCTCAGAGGACACCACTGATGGGTTTCGTACTTTTTGCCACTTAGCAAACAGCAACCGTATTTGGCTAAGCAGTCTCAGCTACAAACAAAATAGAGAACTTGGACGAAGAGGTAATGGAAACTCTAGTCCCGAGACAGCTCGTGCGTCCCCTACCTCACGTTCGCGCAGGGCTGACCGCTCAACCCCACAGCAAGGGGCGCCAAGAGAAGAGCTCCAGCTTTCCAAAAACACCAGCGTCCGCACGCTTATGAGATCACCCCACGAAGACACAGCGTCCCAAAAGCGCGGTGACACTTGTCCCCGTCTTCCCAGCACTCCCGACCGCCCTCCCCCTCGCCCCACGCTAACGGAGCCGTGCGGGACGCCCCCCACGGCGAGGCGCTCCCTCCCGCCCCGCAGCGGACAGGTAGCAGCCCCGCAGCCCCGGGACGGAGCCACTCACCGATGTCGGAGTTGCAGAAGGCGTCCTGCGGGTGGATGGGGACGCAAGTGCACGCCTCCGCCACCAGGTCCCGCAGGCTCCAGCTGCACAGGAACACGGCGAGGAAGCCGAGCCACGCCGTCATGCTGCCTGCCCCGGGGTGCGCTTCGAGATGCAGCCGCTGTTCTGTTCGCCCGACCCGAGCCTCGCCTGCTCGCAGCTCGCTCGTCTCTCCCTCGCTCCCTTCTCACACCGCCTCTCTCTCGGCCTCGGTAGCGCAGCCCTCGCTCGGCGGCACGGAGCGAACCCGAGTGAGCAGCACTGCACAACTGAGCGGGGCCGAAGCGAGCCGAGCTGTGCCGCGCTGCCCGGTGCGCCGAGTTATAGCCTCGATCGCGCCCTCTCGGGCTCCGGGGGCGCCGCCGCAGCCGACCAATAGGAGCCCCGCATTACCTCATCGGCGGGAGAGGCCAGCGGGACGGGGCGGGGCGGTGGCCGCGGCTTCAGCGCCTTATACGGAATAGAGCGGGGAGCGCCGCGAGCGGGAGGGAGTTGGGTTGGTGGCGCAGGTAGGGGCCCCGGGGGAAAAGTCCCCCTAAGGAGAAGTGCCTTGTCTCCCTGAGAAGGTCTTCAGTTCGGCGTGGGCTGTGGCTTGTAAAAATGAAAACGTTCGTACCCCTGAGTTATCCACGAGTGCCTGCACGGCTCTGTCCCCGCACAGTCCCGTCCGCCCCAGTCAGGCTCTGCCTCTCCTCAAGAGAGGAAAGAGGCGCCTCAGATGCCCGTGGAGCTGCTTTTTACTCGCAGAGCTTGGGGTCTTTCTCTCACAGCCATCTCAGTTGGCTGTAAGCTGACTTCTGGTTGCGGGAGATGGGAGGAAACGGCGCTGCGAAGGATTTTCAGGAAGCGAGTGGAAAGCAGCACCTCACCGTTTTTCCTCCTTCAGTAAACAGCAAAAGGAGGATGGGGAGAGGTCCTAGCTGAACCCCTTCCCAGGATGGTGTCCTGTGGCCCTTCACCCTGCCCAAGTGCCCTTTCTCCTGCCTTCCCACCACTCATTCTTCTGGGGATGGCAGACAGCAAGGGCTCAAGCTGGGGAAAGCAGTGTTACATCTACTCCCAACGTTTAATCTCAAAGTGTATTTTAACAGAGCAGCTTTAGAGGAATTTATAGAAAAGTCCTGCTTGTTTTGTTTTCCCTTATCCCCTTTTGGAACAGTACAATTCTATCAGCCGGAGAAATGTAAATGTTATAGTAGAGCTGGGACAGCGAGGAAGGAGATTGCCAGCTGCAGGATGCAGACAGCCTTATTATCCTGCAGAGGGGACCGAGAGGTGATTAATCACTGTATCAAACCAGTGTATGTAATGTCAGAGTACTTTCCGTGGGGTTTACAAGATTTAAGCATGTCTAGTTATAAATGATGCTGGTATTAAAGGCCAGGGACCAGCTGTCCTAAATTTCTAGTCAGCTAAGTCTGTAGATTTACAATTCTGCTCCATCTGGGTGAACCACAGTCTGCCTACACCTTTTCTTTAATCATACCACCCCTATAAAATTAAAGCATCCAGCATTGTGGAAACACAGGCTCTCATTTAGGGCATAGGTATACAAAAGACTGAAGATGGGTATTGCTAGTGGCTATCAAAATAACAAAGCAAACAGCAGAAGTCATAGAGTCATAGAATATCCCAAGTTGGAAGGGACCCACAAGGAACATCAAATCCAGCTCCTGGCTCTACAGAAATTTAGGTTCCTCTCCTTGCTGTGACACAGCCAGCCTGTGGTGACAGTTTCATCTCACTGTGCTTCAAATCCCAGTCTGTGTAATTGGGGTAATGGTGATGGAGCTTCACAGGAATGGGTGTTAGTGAATGCAGTGAAAAAAATCAGACGGTGTTGAGGTGATAACAGGTTATACAGGTACACATGAATCAGGACATTAAACAGGACATTAGTTGTAGGCATGCTAGTGTCAGAATCATTTGGATTCAAACTGCAATATGAGAAACCCCATGCAAAAAGCTCCTTAGGTATTTGGGCTGTCAGCTCCATGTACTAGGACTGAAGTTGAATCTGTCAGCTTGGGCTGTCACTTCAATCTCACTGAGTGTAAACAAGGAACAATTCTACTGACCTCAGTAGAGAAACATGGAAGAAAAATGAGGTGTGTCTGGCACTTTCATTTTTTCTTTATAGTTGTTAAAAAGTTTGATATCACCAACATTATGATGCACCTGATCTATCAGCATCTCAGATCAGTACCTGAGAGAAGCAGAATTATTCCATAATCTGACACTGGTGTAAATAAGTGAGACTTTGGCCCCCATACAATTAGATTATAATCACAACTCCAGCACCACCTGTCCAAATAGATCCTCTGAGAAGGTTTCTTCATGTCTGTAATAACACCTCTCCGGTGTGTTCCGAGGACTAACAAGCTGAATACTTTATAACAAGCTTTGAAGATGCTGGGTGTTGCGTAAATGCTGAGTGCCTGTAATGCACAGACATAGACACGTCCAGAGGAGACTGAAAAACAAATCTTTCTCTCACCCTGCTTTCTGCAAAGGGAGAAGGAAGAGAGCTAGAAGTTACTGAGGTTCCTTCCTTCAGGCATGGCAGCTTGTTTACATTGGGACTGACCAAGCTTGTTAAAGTAAAACCAAGTTTGTGCTGATTACAGGAACTAGTTAACTTTTCAGATGTAACCCAGTGAAGTAATCTGCAGTTACTTCCCATGCTGAAAAGGAGTGCTGCAGTCTGACCTAGTGGCAAGGCACAGCTGTTTGGAAGGCGTGATGCTCAGGTTGTCTGTGTGTTATGGTGAACCACTGTCTTCTCTGCTGCAATTTGAGAGATGTGTACCTGTGCCTGAACAGGAAAGACTTAGCTCATTTGTCTGCTTTTTTGACACTAGATATTCCATTTCAAAGAGCTGACCTTTCCTTTAGTAGTAGGGATGCAGGATACTATGCAATAATAACAGTCCAGTAGGACTGGATTATTGTGCAATAACTGTATTTATTTGCCACTTAGCATACACAGAAATGAGAGTGCTTTATTTTTGTGAATCACCGGTAAATAGTACTCGGGAAAGCTCAGTGTGCCCCATGGCCTGCTAGGAGGCCTGTGTTAAATCATTTTACCTGCTTATACATTAATTTCCTCATAAATAGAGCTATTATGTATTATTCTCTGATTGTATCTATTAGATGTTCAATATTAGCCTCTCCGCTTTGAGCCCTGTCACTAAAATACACTCTGGAATAGCCAGGAAAGAGTTCTGTTTGTTTATTTATATGAGAAAATTTTGATATGTGGTCAAAGTAACACAAAGTCAATTAAGGAGCTGAAAGGAAAACTCATTCTGAGTCCCTACCCTATGCCCTGTCTGTGTGGGAGTAACTGCAGAGGGAAAAACAAAATTAACTAGCATTCGGCTCCTTTGGCTAGACAAAACTTTAAGCCTTATGTGGCCATTAAAAACATAGCAAGTAAAGAAGGAGAAAATAAAGACCTTGATCTTCATATGAGAAAATTAGAGTTCACATTTGATTTATGTCACCAAATAAAGAAATCTATGTTATTTCAGTCCACCACCAAGAACACACTGTTGAACACAATTAAGGAACTCTCTGCTTTACTGGGCAGCCACACCACTTCATGCTGTGATCTTGTCGGATCCCACAAGCTAAGCATGACTGGGCTGGGTCAATAGTTGGTGTGAAATTTCCCAGGGAAAGCCATGTCTGCAGGTGTTGGCTGAGTAAAGTGGCATTCTTCTCTCAGTCGTGCACGAATGTGTAGAGACGGTGCTAGGGGGCACTGCGCTGCAAGAGATGTTTGCGTCTCGTGTTGATGAAGTTCCCTGCGGTATCTGAAGAATTCACTCTTCACGAAAGGAGCGATGTTAAGCTGAGTGTCTTGGTTAAGCGTCAGGAGAGAGAACTACATTCGCTTCCATAGATACCCACTGAAGAAGAGCATAACTGCTAATATCATTTTCCTTCCATAAGTCCTGTTTGTGGCTGGAAAGGATCAGTCCAGAGCTAGGCATAGAGGCTGGGATAAAATCACTTTGGGATGGTCCTTCAAGAGGCATAAAGTGTTGATGTAAATGCACTAAAGGCATATTCTCTTCTCTTCTGATCACCTTTCACAATGAGCTGTAAGGGTTTCCAGACACTGGCAGAAAGCTGCTTCTGAACTGACAAAAGCATCTGAATGTAATTAGTACAGAAGTGCTTAATCAAACAGGAAATTTGGGCCAAAAAAAAAAAAAAAAAAAAAAAGAAAAGAAAGAAAAGAAAAGAAGAGCAAAGAATAAAATGAACAAACAAACAAAAGAAATAAAACTCACGACCACCAACTTAAAAAACCCTGGCACATGTAGTGCCCGAAGACAACCCAACTCCTCATAGAGCTCAGCTGGCTTAAACCAAGCAAAGCACAGATTATGTCGGGAGAATTCAGCCTGCAGTTCAAACAGTTCTGCCACCTCCAAGAACAATACATTAATTTTAAATGTTACTGAACTGTGGGCATTTTTTTATAGATTGTCCATAGTAACTTGACTAGATCCATGGATGTAGAGTCCTTCCATCAGCACTCCAAATTGTTTAGCTGCCAAGTTGCTTCATCTTGTCCTGAAAACCTTTTCTGAAGTTAATGACTCTCATATCCTTTACACCAGTTCAGCATCACACCCTGTAGAAGACGTCACTGCTCTTCTGCTTTTATATAGCAGGTAGGAAAGGACTTTTTAGACATCTGATGTCCTCTTTGACAGCACACCCACACTATGTCATAGAATTATAGAATCATAGAATGGCTTGGATTGGAAGGGACCTCAAGGATGATCACGTTCCAACACTGCCATAGGCAGGGCTGCCAAATGCTAGATCAAGTACTAGATCAGATTGTCCGGGCTCCATCCAGCCTCCAATGACGAGGCATCCACAACCTCTCAGGGCAATCTATTCCAGCACCTCATCACTCAGTAGAAAATTTCCCCCTTACATCTAATATGAATCTCTCCTCCTTTAGTGTTAAAACATTCCCCCTTGTCCTACCACTGTCCACCTGTGTAAAAAGTTAATTTCCCTCCTGTTTATAATCTCCCTTTAAATATTGGAAGGCTGCAATGAAGTCTCCCCACAGCCTTGTCTTCTAAAAGCTAAATAAGTCCAGCTCCTTCAGCCTGTCTTCATAGGAGAGGTGCTCCAGCCCCCTGATCATCTTTGTGACCTTCCTCTGGACCCTCTCCAACAGCTCCACTTCTTTCCTGAGTTGGAGGTCCCACAACTGCACACAGTAATGCAGATAGTGCCTCACAAGGGCAGAGTAGAGAGAGACAATCTCTTCTGATGCGACCCAAGATACTGGTGGCCTTCCAGCCTGCCAGTACACACTCATGTTTTGTTTTTCATCATGTTTTGTTTTTGGCTCATGTTTTGTTTTTCATCTACCAGGACTCCTGAGTCCTTCTTGGCAGGGCTACTTTCAAGGAATTCTTCCCCCAGTCTGTATACATTATCTGGGATTACTTTGACCCAAGTGCAAAACTTTGCACTTTCTATGTTGAACCTTATTAGGCTTGCATGGACCCACTTTTAAATTTGTCAAGGTCCTTCTGGATGGCATCCCTTCCTTCTGCCCTATCAACTGTACCATACAGCTTGGTGTCATTAGCAAACCTGCTGAGGGTGCACTTGATCCCATCATCTGCATCACTGATGAGGATATTAAAGAATACCAGTCCCCAGACAAAACTCTGTGGGACACTGCTTTACCCCAGCTCGAACATAGAGCCATTGACCACAACCCTCTGGCTGCAACTCTCCAACCAATTCCTTATCCTCCAAATAGTCCACCCTTCAAATCTGTATCTTTGCAATTCAGAGATAAGGATGTGGGAGGGAACCGTGTCAAAGGCCTTGATATGTCGTGGGCAACCCTACTGAAATGGCCACACATTGCATTAACAAAAGATGCTCTTATTTCCTCATTATCTTTTTCAGAATGTCTGTTGTTTTGTGGGTTGTATTTTTTTTCTGACACTTTCCTTTGAGAAGACTTCTTTTTTTTCAATTATCATATTTGTTGCGGAAGTTGAACAGAGCAGCAAGGCAGAGTTAGATGCCGAGCAACAATATTTACCATAATTTGTGTGCAAAAGAGGTTGGAAAAAAAACCTTCTCTGTTAATAACTGTTGTATCAACGGACTTCATCTGCTACTTAAAACAAGACGGCTCTTTCTTCAAAAATGTCTTTGATTCTGTTTATACGTATGAAATTTTTTATTTGATCTCTTTCTCTGAGGTTGCAGAGGAATTATGTCACCTTCCTGTCTGCAAGCCAGATGAAGGTAACACTATCCCATTCCCAAGCTTTTAATTAGAGATACACCATTAAACTTCGATCAGCTCTAACCGTTCTATGTTGTGTTTAATTCTCATGGATCCTTCGCAGATTGCGCTTGCAGAGATCAGCCAGTCTGTGAGCAGAACACAGGCACTGTGTGCCACCAACGGCATCGCATTATAAGGCACTGTTGAATATGAAATCACCCTCTCAGTAATGTGGGGATCCTCCCATCACGCTGTGATGTGGCATCAGCTGCAGAAAGGTGACCAGGAAATATCTTCTGACAGCCTTATCGAGTTGAAAATGTTTCATGCACATGACTCCGCACTTTGGCCCCAATCCAGAAAAACACTAAGGCACGTGTTCAACTTTAAGCACACGAGAAGGTCCACTGAAGTCAACAGGACCGTTTACATGCACAAAGTTAAATATAAGCTTAAGTGCATTTCTGGATTCAGGCCAAAGGGCTCAGTACCATGCAGGGTTCAAGCCAGGAGGCTGTGATTAGATGGTCTGACAGAGTCGGGGGCGGGGAACGGGATGTGATTTGCTTGGCTCTACCTGCCTATGCCTCATTCCAAAGCAATTAATTTTCTCTCATTTTTGTTTATAAAATGTTCTTCCATTTTTCTTGCTTTGCTTTCATGCTGCTGTAGCTATTCCCAAATTGAAGTTTTGTTTTGCTTTTAAACCCCTTCGAAACAGCATCAATAGCTTTAAGTGACTGAACAAAGAGATTTCAAATAGATGAGGTGCTTCAAATGGTAATAAGAGCTGGTGTTCACAGAGCTTTGGAGGCTGGCACTGAGAGGAGAGGGAGAGCGACTGAAAATCACTTTTCAGTTGTTCCTTTGTATGAACAGTTCTCTGGCTTATGCAATGCACAGTAATTAAAATGACTGAAATGCCTCACATTTTTAAGAGAGCTTTAAGGCAGCTCTGTGGCATTGTGGCCAGCGGAGTTCATGAGCTGTAGATTTGTGACTGCAATCAAGGTTTGACATTTCTATCAGTGTAACTCGAAGAAGACAGTATCTGTAGAGGGCTAGGAGAGGAGCTGGAGGAGGAAGGTATAGACACAGAAAAACAGCAACATCTGGTCCCTTCACAGTTGCATGAATACCTATGGAGCAAGCTTTCCTTTCAGTGAAATGAGAGCCTGAAGGTTTGTGTGAATGTCAGAGATCCCACTGCTTTCCTTAACTGTAGCCTGTCCAACTTCAAGAATGGAACAGCACTTCCACAACCTTATCAGTCAGTGTAATGTCAAGTACTCATCTGCCCCCTCCAATGTGCTGTACATTTCCATGAGGGAGGGTACTGGCCACTGCACTTGCTGGATGTATTTGTGGAGGGCCAAATAACTCCCCAGTGTGAGCAAGGCAGACAGGCAAGCCCCTCTGCTCACAACCCCCATTCTTGTGCTGCTTGACAGAGATAATCCTAGAATCATAGAATGGCCTGGGTTGAAAAGGACCACAATGATCATTGAGTTTCAACCCCGCTGCTATGTTGCAGGGTCACCAACCACCAGACCAGGCTGCCCAGAGCCACATCCAGCTTGGCCTTGAATGCCTCCAGGAATGTATAAGGGAAAATCTTGTTGCTTTTCAGTCCCCTTGGGAAGTGACATGGGGGAAAGCCACGACATCGCTCATCTTCTCTCAAGAGTTGACCTGGCTGCTGGCAGGGATGAACAGCCGTGGAGAAATAAAGGAGCTGAGCCCAGTCTCTATTGGGACGGGATGTGACTAGACTGAAGATTTTTGTCATGCTGAGCATCAAGATCCTTCTCCCCTTCCCTCTCTGCCTCTCACCAGCCTTCTGAGGACACCTACTGAACTCCCTCCTCACCCAGCGTAGTCTTTCTCCCCTTTTCCTACACATCAGAGACACTGTGTATGATACAGTGGTCTCCACAACACTGTGTTAAGTTAGGAGACGGAGAAAGATCCCATCAGGAGGCAATGGCCCCGTATCTTGTACATAACCCTGAGTGCCAGCTGAGGCTAACAGAGCTGCGGTCCCTCCACACACAGTAGGCCAGCCAGTCTGTTGGATGTGCCACTGGTTCTAAAGCATGTTGAAATTCTCTGAAATCACTGCATGCATGAAAAGCAGAATGTTGAGTGCCTGGGAGCTGACATTCCTCTTTTTGTTACATTAATGAGCCAGGAGACACTGTCAGGTTGTTGGATCTGAAAGAAGGGCCTCCTCTTTACCTGCATAACAGGTGCAGCTGCAGGAAAAGTTTACTGTCTTTTGCTCTCTTGCATAACCTGCAAACACTTCCCACAAAAATAAGCCAAATCACTTCATCTCCATAGTCCAGCTGTTCCTAGTTTCTTACTTGAAGTTGCAAACAAAGGTGTTAGTTACAAGGATGGTCTCTAATGATGGGACAGTGTCCCAGCAGGGATCAAAGTCAGCGATTCCTGTTTGTGAATGTCACCACATGCTCGTCAAAAGTGAGTTCTGCTGTGTGTAGGTCCCAATGGACGATTGCCTCAGGGTAGGACTTTCTAAAATCCAAATTGACTTTTTCAGTGCTTTTGTTCCTGTATTCCCAAATTACCAATGTATTGTAACTGTAAGCAACAGCTTCACTTACAACATATCTCTCCCACACAGACTCACTGTCCAAGGCACAAGAAGCTGGGGATTTCTGATGTGAAATTTCAAGGACAGACCTATTTCTTCTATAGAGCAAAAGGCAGCACTTCTGTTTCCTCACTGTTCTGGAATTTTTCTCCATAAATCTTGGCACGCAGTGTGAGACAAAAGAGGAGATGGTAGGTCTGCAGCCGGGAATGACGAGGATTCTGTCATTTGTTTATTGTCTTACTCTTCCTGAGTGACGAATAACGCACTCATCAAAGGACCCTTTCAGATCTGCAGTGTGAGTTCCACACCTCATGTATTAATGCTGGCAGTGAAAAGATCAGTGTTTGATTTAGCGCAGTGTGAAAACAGTATTCTTTCTCCAGTGAAGAAAGCAAGAGAAGTCTACCATCCTCATTCCCCTTTATGCAAAGGGCTTGAGCAATCCCTCAGTTGTGCCTTCCTCTGTTTATGCAGGAAAGCACCTTAGTTTTTTCATTGTGACTGATAATGGGCATTGTGCAGTAAGAGTTAATCTGTAACCAGATGCAGCACAACTGGAGGTGAAGCCAAGAAAGAGGAACAGAGCAAACTTCCTCTGTTTTTCCTTCGCACTGAACGAAAGTACCTTTACCAGGAATCACGGAACTAGGACTACAATATCTTGCTTTACTAGCAAAAGCTGAAAGAAACAGTGTTCTATACTTGCAGAGTTCAACTCCTAATTTTAACTCAGTTTGTAGCAAGAGCAACAAGTAGCACACTGGGTGCGGAGTGCTCTTTGAATGGGAAGCACATAGTATGGACGAATGTTCTTTCACCCCACTGGTACTGCCCAGAAAGGACTTCAAATGCATATCAGAAGCAGTGACAACCGCCCAGAGCTGGCAGGAATCATAGAATCATAGAATGGCCTGGGTTGAAAAGGACCACAGTGATCACCCAGTTTCAACCCCCGCGCTATCGGCAGGGTCGCCAACCACCAGACCAGGCTGCCCAGAGCCACATCCAGCCTGGGAATGAAGCAGGAAGGTGTTGAATTCATGTATAGACTCCACAGCAGGGCCAAAGCTGTGAGGGTACCACAGCTTGAATATGTGCCCTGAGCAAGAAAATACGTCTCTGTACATCTGCTCCACCAAACCGTACTCAGAGTGTTGACCAGAAGTGCAGTGTTAAACCAAGTACCTGGTTGTGGAAGCCTGGGCTGCTCCAGAGCAGTGGTTCATCAGAAGTGCTACAAGGCTGGAGAGATACTGAATTTTTGGTAGTTGCAGATGTCACCTCTGTCCTCATCTCTCCTCTCCTTTCCTCCCATCCTCCCTAGTGCCCCACAGTGCAGCTCCCATTCTTCCCTTCTCCCAGTGTCTGTAGTGGTGGTTTGAAGCAATGCATAAAGCTCTCCCTAGACACCCAGCTGAGGACTGAGAAGAAAGGGCTCTCAGTGTAAAGTTTTGCAATGCACAGGGGGATCTGTAGAGAGATCTACTCATAGGATAACCCACAGAAAAAAGCAGTCTGAGCTATAACAACAGAGCTCTACCAAAAGAGAAGTGGCTCTCTATCAATCTTCTCCTAGCACTAGAAAGTATGAAAATTAGATTGACAAGCATTTTAGGCTTTTTCATTTAAGCTGTGTCTTCATGTTACATAGATTTCAACCAAGCATTCTTTAACTGAAATCCTGCTCTAGTTCAAGTTCAGCAGAACCACCACCTTGGTGAGTGGAAAGGGGAAGGAGGGATTGGAGGTCTTACTAGTGCAGATAAATCCTTACTACAGTCAGAATACAAGGCACTAATCTGATATCCCGTAGCTCACAGCATAGCTATAGGGATATCTTCCAAAGGTGTTGCAATTCTCTCTCACTATTCTGATAAAATTATCTATTGCAGCATCAAAAAAAGCACAGACCTGCCTCACAGAGGAGGAAGGAACAGGCTAGAAAGGGAAATTTTTACTTCATTTGAAATTGCTTGCCCTATCCGGAATAAATCTTCACACTGAAAATCATATATAATTGTGACTTAGCCTAAGGGGGCTAGTATAGCATTAGCTTACAGCACGGCTGTAAGCAAATAGCACCACAGAGAGTTGGCTGAAGGAAGTAAAATCTTATTCCCAGTAAATGCAAGAGCTTTTCCTTCTCCTTACTGCAGAGACAGAACCTAGCTCCTCAAATTAGATGATATCTTCAACTTCCCTAAGGTGTTTCCACAAATATCAATGCGATTAAATAGTTTTTACTTCATTGAAACTATAGTCTGAAGGCAGACATAGCCATTCAGTTTTATTTTGAGAAAAGTCTTCCGAGAATAAGTGAAAGAGGGAGAAGCTGGTGCTGTAAAACTCTTATTCCATCAGGCATTGGTGGGAAGGAGGAGGGGGGCAGCAGTAAAGGCATGCCTATGGCATGGAAGGGAAAGTTCTCAAAGGATTCCTTTAATCAGATTCTGCAGAAGATAGGCTCACTCTGTAATTCACTCCATGTCTTATTCAAAGGCCATATGCTCTGGTCATGTGGAGATTTACAGTCTCCGATTTACTGGCCTCAGAGAATCTAAAAGAATTATGCAAGAAATCATGTGCTATGATAACTGAGGCTTCACACAGCCACGCTTTCTAAAGACTGCTTCCAGCTCAATATAAGACCCCTCGAGGGCTTTGTAGCCCTTTCAGGGAAGAGAGTAGAGGAGAAAAAGGGGGAGCTGCTAACCATTGCCATATGTGAGAAGCGTCCCTGTCTGCACGTGGGTGTGATGTTCATGTTATCATAGGGGCTGAGCTCCAAATAGGCCCCCCATTTCCTGTTTCCAGTCAGCAACTTACTGCTGGAGCAGGAATCCCATGTCACACTGCACTGAATTTACAAAAGAGGAAAACGATGGCCAGTGGAGAGGGAAAGGGTGGGGGAAATCCTCTAAAATAACAGGGATATGAGCCAGAAGTCCTGAGAGGCAGCAGAATAAGTGGGAGTTCAGCAAATAACCATTTTCTTTCTTTGACTAGTGTTCCTTTGAGACTTAAGCACTCCAGTTCTCAGAGTTAATTTTAGCTATTTGTGGTTGTCCTGTTCCTAATGTCCCTTTCCTATCTCTCACACACAGTGAACCTTGGGATACTCTCTGTGGGCTGACAGATGACGTGAAAACCTCTAATCTGCAGGTCAAATATCAAAAATGAAGTGGGATCAGGAAATTGGAAGCACAATTTGTTTTTTTCCAAATAAGGGAGATATATTCATATTAGAAGTTCTTAGCATACCAAGTTTGTGGTTTTTTTTTAAAGAAGTGTATGAGAAGAATGACATACTCTTGAAATTTTTATGGTAACCACCAAAGATGTTATCATCCCATGGACATCCCATGGCCTTTCCTATGCAGACTATGACAGATAAACATTTATTACTTACAGGCTCTTCTCCAGGAAAACCAAAACCACACTGTCCCAAGTACTGTACTCAGATGCAACAGTCAGAGTAAGTCCCTGCAAAAGGGCACAGAGTACACATAAGGGAGGGTTCAAAATGAACACTGTGACAATAAAGCTGTGGTGCCAGGGATTAACAAGCTTGCTGTATGTGGTATTCATACTGTACGTGTGTGATGTTAACAGAAGTCTGAGCTGTACCTGTTTTACACTCCTGTGCTGATGTGCTGCCAGTGTTTTATGGTTCACCACATTTGCCCTACAGCTTCTGATGAATCTGATGACCAGAAGCACCACAGGATGCAGAAGCAAGTTAAAAGGTTTGAGATGATGTCTCCCATCTCAGCCAATGTTTCTCATAAACTTGAGCAGCAAGTGGGTCTGTTACTTCCCCTGAATCTCCCATCCTTTACCAACAGAAATCTGTAGAGGATGCTTTACTCTTTATATGCTCTGAGTGATATATGTGTGGTATTGAGAACAGTAAAAAGGCATATAGTCCCCTAAGGTATCTGAAAGAGAAGCTGGCTCTACAAGAAAATTAAGTTCAGGGCTAAGAAATCAACTCAGGACCCTTATTGTCAGTTGATAGATTTAAGGCTTTGAGTCAGGTGAGGAATATGAAGGTCTCTCATATAAAAGACCTTGGCTCTGAGAAGCTCTCTAAGAGAAGTTAGTTACTGTTCCCCTCAAGAGCGGAAGAGCAGTAGTCCCTGAGCTGACAGAGGGCAGATTTCTGTTATTAATTGGGCAGACTGCCCTGGTTTTGATTTGGACCAGAAACAGAATACTGACTAGGACATCTTGGAGAAGGCTGCCTGTAGCTCTCTGTGCTGGCTAGCAGGACATGGTCTGTCTTCATAAAAAACAACCTGCTGAGTTGCCAATGTCACTTTTCCATGCATACAGGTTTTTCTCAGGTGAGGTTATGCTACTCAGGGAGCTATTTTCCACTATACAGAGATGCAGCAGGACTCCAACAGCTGTAGTCAGCACTGCTGGCAGCAGAGACACAACACAGCTAAGCTTTTTGGAGAAGTCTGGCACTGAACAGAACACATGTGGGGCACAGGGGGCATCCCAGGTTGACTCTGGCTTCCCACAGATTTCCTGGAAGATCTACAGATGTCTGAAGATCCTCTTCATTTTTTAAGAGCAAAGTTGGCAGCTTGTTTCAGTTTCAGAAGGAGAGGCTGTTAGGGGCTGACCTGCTGGATAGGAAGATCTGTGGAGAAGGATCTGGCTGTCCTGGTGGGCAGCAGGTTGGCCGTGAGCCAGTAATGTGCCCTTGGTACCCCGGAATGCATTACAAAGAGCGTAGCCAGCAGGTTGAGGGAGGTGATCCTCCTCCTCTGCTCTGCCCTGCTGAGGCCACATCTGGAGTGCTGTGTCCAGGTCTGGGCCCCCTGGTTCAAGAAAGTCAGGGAACTTCTAGAGAGAGCCCAGTGGAGGGCCACCAAGATGGTGAAGGGCCTGGAGCATCTCCTTGATGAGGAAAGACTGAAAGCCCTGGGACTGTTCAGCCTGGAGAAGAGAGGTTGAGGGGATATCTTACCAATGCTTCTACATATCTAATGGAGGTGTGTCAAGTGGATGGGGCAAGGCTCCATCTTCTTGGTGGTGCTCAGCGACAGAACAAGGGGCAACAGACACTGGAACAGAGGAAGTTCCATTGGAATATGAGAAAGGACTTTGCCTTGAGGGTGACAGAGCACTAGAATAGGCTGCCTGGAGAGTCTGTGGAGTCTCCTTCTCTGGAGATGTTCAAAACCCATCTGGATGCTTTCTTTGTAAACTACTTTAGGGAACCTGATTTAGCAGGGGGATGATCTCCAGAAGTCCCTTCCAGCTCTAACGATTCTGTGATTTTATGATTCTGTATGTCCTGTCCAAACCAAAGGTATGAATAGTGGGGAGCTCCCTCCCGTAAACCATATACAGGTTTTCCTAATAATCCCTGGACAGATGGACAGTCATGTGAGTCCTTGAAAATCTATCCACTTTGGAGCAGCCCTGGGTGTGGTGCAGTGGATGTGGCCAGATACATGTGCTGCCCTTTACAGACAAGCCCTCTGTCCCGCAAAGACTGAATATCAACAAAATTCTTCCTGTGGGGACTTCCAGCTCTGCCTAAGCCAGCTGTAAATTCCTTTGAGGCTGAAGACTAAGAAAACTGGAATCCTGGGAGGACCTTGGTACAATCCCAAAACCATTTCCACTGAACCTCCCCAAAAATATGGTTTCTCTGACCCAGGAATGCAAGCTCTGTAACAATGGCAAAGCTGAAGTCCTAGACCGTTGGCATTAACTAGTATTAGCTCATTATTTCTGTGCACTCTGTCTGCCTCAGCTAATATGAAAATCATTCATGTGATTTTGAGATATGTCTCCCTCTGGGAGACAGACTTATTGTTCTGCTTTTGTGCAGCACCTGGCATGAAGGGGTTGCTATTTTTTGAGTGAGATGCTACCTCCACATAAACAAATAACAAAGCTTGTGGGACCCCTGGCTTCTCTGTTTACTGCTTTCTTTTTGAGTTAGTTATTTTGATGTGAGTAATTATGAAGCATCTGAGTTAGCATAGTAAAGTTAACAGCTGTTTCAGCAAGGAAGTGGCTGAAAAGGGGTGACAGCAGGAATAGAAGCCATGAACTGATGTGGAATGGCTGAAGCAATCAGAATCTGCATATACAGAGAGCTCCTCTGTTAGTTTCAGCAAAGCAGAAAGAGAACTACATTTCTCTAGGGCAGGTGAAGGCCCTATCAATCCTTCAAACCCAGGAAAGCCAGCCAGCCTGACCACAGGATCAGCTACTGCCTCACTTTCCATACCTCCAGTTTTTGTGCTCTGTTCCCCACTAGCTCTGTCCTCATATAGGAGTGGTACCCATCGGTTGTCGCCTTCTGCATGAACCAGTTGAAAAGTTTGACTTCCCTTCTGTGGCAGGTTTCCTGCACATATTTTTTATGTTTCCTTCCTCAATTACACTTTCTTTTCTAAACATTTGCAGATCTCTCCCTTTACATACAGAGTTTCTGAGGGGATATACCACCTCTTGGAGGGAATGCATTCTCCAAAAGCCTTCCCCATGATGCCATGGCCCCATTTGTCAACATACTTCTCTCCAAGGAAGGAGAATACAATCCAAACCTCCCTCCCCTGCCTGTGGTGTCTTCAGCAAACTGCACACCAAGCACCCTTTCAGAATAGCCACCAGGGTTTCCCATGCAGGGAAGGGCATGTCAAGGGTGAGACGGAAGAGTGGCTACACTGCATTGCGTTCCAGGCACGTTTTGTTGGCTGATGGTCCCAAGGGGATGCTGGTGTGTATATAGGCAGCTTCTGGGCTACTTGTATTCACACTGCTGATGGAGTTAAGGCAAAATGAGGCAGCTGAAGCTGGCTCTGAGGATCTCTCTTATTTCTCACTGCTTGTCAGCAAAGCCTGAGCAGAGCAGAGTACCTAGCCACACATCACACCGTACACACACCAACTTCTCTGCCTCCTCTTCCCAGCTGTCGAAGGAGCAGGATAGGTATTTCAGTGAAATCTTCCCCCCCAGGGTAAGAAAATAGCAGATGAAGAACAGTCAAGTGGTGTGCTGTACTCTCATACTTCCTTGTGCCCTAGACTAGACCCATAGACTCACACGCATGACTTTCCACAGACATGCTCACATGAAATACTGAAACACTGAAGGGAGGAAGGCTGTCAGGCCTGCTTCCAGCTCCAGAACTGCACTCTGATAGGACTAGACTTCTTATATTTAATTATTTTTTTTCCCCAAAAGAGGGGTGGTCAACACCACCACTAAATTCACCTCCACCCCCAAGCAGCTGTTTTGCCAAAGGGTGGAGAAGCAGACCTCCTGATTGAGGGTGGAGCAGTTTGAAAGAGAGGAAAGCAGTGACTTCACTGTATATTAAGTAACAGCAGAGCAGGCTGTGCGTCATTCTGAAAAACAAGATTTTGGGTGGGGGCAAAGGCTCTCTGCAGCATCTTGCACATGAAGCCTTCCCCTTTGTAGGAAATAAGCAGAACATGCTGTTCTGAATGGAGAAGCTCAGAAAGCTGTAGATGCAGTAAGCTAGACACCTTATAATCTTATTTAAGGAGATCCAGCCAGAGTAGCAATGAAAAGGGCACATAATGGCATAGGAGAGTTTGCTCTAGACTTTCTTCCGACATAGATAGAGGAGCATGGCAATAGATCAAGTCCATGTGAATGGAACACCATGGGAATAGCTTCAAGTCCATCCAAATAAAATGCGAGTGAATGAGTGGGCTGAATGCAGTAGTGTGTCCAGCCTTCAGCCAGGGCAAGGCAGGGCAGGGCAGCACTAGGATTAGCTGTCTGCTTGCAGTGGGAGCTGGTCAGCCTTGGCACAAGCATCAGTACTGCTGCAGCTCAAATGCCCCTCCTCCCTTTCCCCCCCATTAACCTTTCCTTGCAGCTGAGGGCTGTAGGGCGAGCTCAGGCCAGTCTGTACCTGCATCCCCTGCATCCCCCTTCATCCTGACTCTGACTGAAGGAGTCTCTCAGGCTTAAGGGCGCCCTAATACATTAGAGCCCATTTCAAGCTGTTTTCACCTTCGCAAAGAGTTAAAAGCAGTCTTAAGACTACAAAGAGGGCAAATGTAACACACATTTTTACACTGCTTATACTGTTTGTACTGGTCTAGGAGCGCAGTCCTGAGAGAGGCCATCAGAACAGAAGCTTTTTCACAGGTGGCCATGGGCTGGCTGAAAAAAGCCTTCCTGCTGGCTCTGGGCAATATTTATGGCATCACAGCATACCTCTGGCCCCATTTGCAGGGGGAACATAACAGCAACCACTTCCTTCCTCAGTCTTCCTAGGCAAAACTCAAAACACTCAGAACACTATCCTCCAGGGACAAGACAATGTCATGGGGACATGGCTCACCTAATATTTCTTTAGCTAGCCCAGGTAACAAAGTGCAGTGCCTTGGTGCTGGTGTGTGATTCTCCTGCTGGATATTTACCCAGGATCTCATCAGGGCTCTTTTGACCTATACTTAAGTCCAGGCTACAGAGTTTTGACTTGTGCTGTTGAGTTTGCTCTTCAGGATCTCCTGGCCACCTTTGTACCCCATACCCCCAGAGGTTTTGTTTGATCAGTATCCCCAAGAGAAAACATTCCTGTGCCTTTGTGTGCAGAACACTGTGTTTTCCCAATAGACATCACTGTCTGGCCTACAGCATGAATATCCAACAGTACAGTGAATATATGGAATAAAAATCAAGCAAGATGTTATGAGTTGGACCTAGACAGGCAGTGAGTTGGGCAGAGAAGAACAGGATGACGTTCAACCAGGGAAAGTGCAGAGTTCTACACCTGGAGAGGAATGATCGCATGAATCAGTACAGGTGATGGGCTGACCTGCTGGAAAGGAGCTCTGCGAAGAAGGACCTGGGTGTCCTGGTGGGCAGCAGGTTGGCCATGAGCCAGCAGTGTGCCCTTGTGACCCAGAAGGCCAGTGGCATCCTGGGGTGAATTACAAAGAGCATAGCCAGCAGGTCAAAGAAGGTGATCTTCCCCTCTTCTCTGCCCTGCTGAGGCCACATCTGGAGTGCTGTGTTCAGGTCTGGGCTCCCCAGTTCAAGAAAGACAAGGAACATCTAGAGAGAGCCCAGTGGAGGGCCACCGAGATGGCCTGGAGCATCCCCCTGATGAGGAAAGACTGAAAGCCCTGGGACTGTTCAGCCTGGAGAAGAGAAGGCTGAAGGAAGATCTTATCAGTGTTAATCTCTAATGGAGGTGTGTCAAATGGATAGGGCAAGGCTCCATCTTCTTGATGATGCTCAGTGACAGGACAAGGAGCAACAGACTCACACTGGAGCAGTGGAAGTTCCATACAAACATGAGAAAGAACTTTACCTTGAGGGTGAAGAGCACAGGAACCAGCTGCCCAGAGAAGCTGTGGAGTCTCCTTCTCTGGAGATGTTCAAAACCTGCCTGGACGCTTTCCTGTGTAAGCTACTGTAGGAATCCTGATTTAGCAGGGGGTTGGACTGGATGATCTCCAGAGGTCCATTTTAAGCCCTGTGATCCTGTGATTTTATATCTGGCCCCTACACACCTTCACATACTGATACCACACATGGTAAGCATGCCTCAGATGCAGAGAAGAACTCAAACTCTGCTTAGGAAAGGTATAAAAAAAAAAAGGTATAAAAACTGCTAGACTGTTAGATGTTCAGGCCCTTTATCTATCTCTTATAGTTGTATATAAAAACTGAACCCCCATTTTTGTGGTACCAAGGGAAAAAATGAAGGAAGCAAGAAGTGAACTCTTTCATCCAAACTTTGACAGAGGCAGAGTTCAGTTTCTAAGGGTCACTAATAACCAGAATTTCGTGTTCCGACTCCCCACCTGAGAAAATTAAACAGCATTCACAGAGCTCTGCTTCCTTGCCCACAAATCATAAATGGTTTAACAGAACAGCACTAAAGAAAAATGAGAAAAGGACAAAGGAGCATATACAGAATAACCAGTACAGATACCCATTCCTATAGCACAGGGCACTTACCAAAGCCATCTCTCATTGTCTTCTGAAGTGTCACTACAGCAGATTATTGCTCCCCTCAGATCTGGAAACTCTCTGCACAGCTGACAGTTTGGGGCCCCCACCACTCACCTACTGGGAAGCAGACAGTTCTTCTGAGCTGCGGCTGTAGTGGGAGCCACTGACTGATCTTTGCAGCTTGCTGCTTTCTATAGCTGTTCTGGCTCCACTAGCTGCTCCTCTTGGTGGCTCCAGCTAAGCATGCCCCATACTTTTAGTTCCTGCTAACTGCTCTTCATCCTCACTGAGTCCTGGCTTTTGGCTGCTCAAAGATAAGTTCTTAAACAAACTTTGCTGGCCCTCTAGTTTGCTGTATTTCTGCCTCTTGAGGGACTGCAAACAATTGCTTGAAGCTAAAGGTGGTCACCTACAATGGGCACAGCTAGTCCCAGCTTTTCACACTTACTGAAAATTGTATTATCCACATTTTTATGATGAAATTATAATTGCTTTCTTATACAAATCTTCTCACATATAGTGAGAAGACATACGGATATTAGGTCTGTCTCTAGGCTCTTTCAGCTCCTTTTATTCAGAAAGAAAGGCAGCAGAGCAATCCTCCTCTTCCAGCTCTCCACCTCTCTGAGCAGCCCAAACAAAGATAAAAGAAAGGAAGGTATTCAAAGTCAGTTCTTTGCATCTTGCAGCCAGCTTAAGCATCTCAATAGGATTCACCAAAAAATAATAGTTATCTTATATAAGCCTCAAGACAATCCCCCTGTAACAATTTAAGACCTTACTGTTGTTTCTGCGCCACGGATGAGTGAACTCAGACAGGCTAAGAGATGCCAAGGAGTTTGTGACCCATTCCCAAACTTTTCTGCTCTTCCCTGTTTTCTTAGAGCAAGCAACATCCCCTCCTTAGACTAAGGCATTGCATTAGTAACACTAATGATGGGTTGTACCATCCCTGCATGCTGAGCATGATTCACAAAGTCAATATGGCCCCAGCAGCTGAGAAGAACAATGCAGTGTGCTCTCAGTTACTCCTTTTGGCTACACCATCACCAGAGCCCAGAACAAGGGCAGTGATGTCATGTTTGTAGGCTTAATGTGTGAGTAACATATACAATGCTAAAAGCTCTCTGTGATCTATTACTTCCACATTAATACAGCTTAGGGCATATATACACAATCAGTTGCCAGAGCCAAGAATAAGTCATTTGGAAGAGATTATTTTATTTTAGGCTTTTAACAGGAATAATTCTCAGTCCCAACAGGCTAGTTCTGGAAAGGGAGTACCTAGCTAAACGTGGAGCTATATAATTTAGCCAAGACCTCAGCATTAAAGACAAAAGTTTGGAATGTAGAAATGGGCAGACCAGAATCCCACTGAGAAATAGCTTACATTTTTTTCTGAGAATTAGCCATTGTTGTAAGTATTTACATTAAAAAAAAGAAAAAAGAAAAAAAAAAAAAAGATTAAGAAAAAGCTCAGAAGCAAAGAAAGAAAGTATTCCCAGCCATTTTCAAGAAAATGACTTTGGAGCCTTTTTGTGCACTTGTGTTTGAACAAAGCTTTTCTCCATTTAGCCTTTGAGTGGAAGGAGGGCGTTATTCTTTCCTTTTGAAGATGTATTATGTGTATTCAATGCCAAAAGAACCAGCACAGGAGGGGGCTCAGGAGCTAAGCATAGTGACATTGCAACCAGAGGCCAGTCCGTGGGTCAGGCAGATGAGTTCGTTCTGGCTATAAGCTCTATGGTGCATGTGCTGATAACCTCAACTGTGGAGCTCATGGCAAGCTATTAGCCAGCCCTGGGACTGGGTAGGCTGTGCACCCTGAGCTCTGGGCTATCCCAGCTACACTGCTGGTGCCATCTCTCTCAGGCAGCCCCAAGCCAGCATCCAGCTGCTATGTGCTTTCACTGTGGATAGATGCCTCAGGGGTGATTCTTCCTGCCTTAAAAAGCCCTTCCCCAGTGCACTGCCAGGTGGTTTGCAGGAACCCCAGATGACAAGGCCTGCCTGTGTCCTCTCTTTTGGGCCCTTTCCATCATTTGCTGGGTTAAGCCAGGATTCCTCTGGCCAGCAAAACAGGGGAAGCCCTGAGAATACATAGCACAAAATCTTATCTCAAGGAGAAAAAAACAGAGGCTTGTGTGTAGAGGCTCGTTGAACTGCACATTCCTGTAATAGTTTCCCAACGGTGAGTACCAATGGGACAGTCACAGGCTTTGCTCTTTGTTCCCAACAGGCTGGAAGCTTTATCTCCTGGGCAGGCTGGGGCTGGAGCACTGCCAGCCTCCCCAGGGACGGCTTTGGCCCTGTAGATGCCTGTGCCTCCGCAGTGGGCTGTGGATTGGCGGAAGCTGGTGCAAAGCTGCCTGTCCGATTAAATTTGTTGTTCTGCAAAAGGATTTAGCTTTGTTTGCCAGTTATTACTGAGGAAAAATCCTAAGCTGCTTCTTTAAACTGTGTTAAACCTTTCAGGGGATGAAAGAACCTGGCGTCTTTCCCTCGAAGTTGTAAACAAGGAGGAGAAAGCTAAGAGAAGGCACAGAGAACAAGCCATAGATAAATAAACAAATAAATTTAAAAATACTATTTTGATTACATTCTTTTTCCTCTGCAATCAAAAATATTTTTAAATTTCCTGTGCGAGGGGGCTGCCATAACAGAAGCGTACCTGAACTTATCTTCCAAAAAAAAAGTCTGATGATAGGTCATCCGCCACCATCTCGAACACACTCCAGATCCTACACATACCTGCTGTCTCCCAGGGACATGCTGCAAGCCCATCCAGAAGGGTCTGCACAATATTAAGTTGAGGAGAGATGGAGAGATGTCTGAGATTCTCGTATTTCATCATTCAGGCCTGCACAAACAAACCAAAGGCAGCCAAGTCAAATAAGTAACTTATTCCAAAACAAGATATCTGTACACAAGGTTTGGTCTGGTTTAATTGAGTTCAAGGCCAAACTACTCCTAGTTAGAACAATAAAATGATATCTGTAGATGTCTAATGTATTTTAGGTTGGAAAGCTACAAAAGATGACTGTGAATGTATAGTTTGAGCACAACAGTGTGCTAAAATACAACCATGTGTCCAAAGCCAGGAAGGGCTACAGGAAGTGCCCTTTCTCTGCCACTGAAGTTTTAATTTCCCTTGTTCGAGCCCTGCAATGTAGATAATTTCTTTCACAGGATTCCTGCCTCGTTTCTGCAGTTAACAGATTAGTGTTTCATACTTTGCTTTATCCTTCTGCTTAGTGGATAGACACAGATCATCTCTAGCACACAGGATTTAAACTGTGCTCTGAGAGCAGAATGACTGAAAGCCCTCTTGAGTTCAAGGCTTTCAGCAAGATATCATATGTAGCTGCTTCAGGAACATCACAGCACTGCAGTAACTATTATGGATCTTGTACATGAGAGGTTGCCTACTGAAAACTGTAGAGTCAAAAGACTTTGAATACCTTATAAAACAAGGACTTGTGCTTTCACTGTGTCTAGCATGCTGCTGCACTTTGTATGCAAAGCACAAAACCAAGATGCAGTTGTGAAGGCTCAGTCCCTTTTCAAGCTGGCTGTGGTTCAACAATCCAGAGGTTCCAGCTGCAACACCAGCTACAACAAACACCAGTTACAACACCAGCTACAGCGGCTTGCACCCCTGTCCTGCACTCAGCTCTTTGCAGGCCTGGTCTGCAGACAGGATCAGAAAAGCAATTCTTATTAAAAATAACACTTCTGGGCCTCAGAAAACTGTTTCAAACCACTCGTTGAGGTATCAAAAAAAACACAAGGCAGCCATGTCACAATCAACCGCAGGAATTCTGGCACAGGACAACCTGCCCCAGGTCACACCGGAGCTGCACGGCTGTGCCAGGATGCCAGCTCTGCAGGGCAGCAGCCCATGGCACGAGTCCCATGGTGACTCTAGTTCTTCCTGCAGTCCCCTACCTCACTCAGTGCCCACCTACTTTCCACAACACTTGAGGCAAGGGCTAATGCAGAAAACTGTTTCTATGCTTTCACAACCCTTGAGCAGTTCCCTCCTGCCTGTGGAGCCAAGGAGTGCCTGGAGGAAACTACAGTCTGTGGACTTTGAAATGAAGTCTGCATCATAACCCATCTGCACAGACGTTGCCTGGGTAACTTTAGTCCCGGATTTCCTAACTTTTTTGAGCACTTGAATCCATAGTTTTCATGCAAGCTTTTTGTGTGTGAAATATGTCCTTATTCAAAGAAAGTTAGAGTACACAAAGAATAAGTAAGAGAGCAGATAACTATCTGGGCAATGCCAAGGATCAGAACAAATGCTTTTTCCTTGCTCTTTATACTAGATTATTTGGAGATAAAAGAATTTGGAACAATTCCCAGCCAGGGCTTGCCGCTCTCAGAAGCTGGTCGTTGTTGTTAACTGCAGAGTTGAACAAAATCCTTCTCCATGCAAAATGATATTTTGTATTGGGCGTGAGGTGTCTGCTCTGAAGTTCAACTCTGTAAATAGGACCATTGCAAACACAGGAATCGGTGACTCTCTCATAGCATGTGTGATGGGATTTGCTCCATAATGCTGCCTAGCAAATTCCTTTTCTCTTGTAAGCAGAAATATATAACGGAGGAAACAGTTTTTCTTTAGTTATTAATATCTCTGAGGTAACATGGCAGATGCCATTACTGACCCCTATACAGGACTGTTTAGCTCCCTTCATCAGGGTTCAGTCCCAGGCATAGTTTAGAGAACCCCGAAGGCCATTCTGACAGCTGTATGATATCTATGATATGCTGGGATATCTTTGTTCCTCCCATTTCCTCACGGAGACCATTTTAGCAGAGGATGGGACAGCAGTGCTAGAGGATTCATTTTGCTTACATGCACTGAAGTAGTTCATCACCAGTTCATTGTGTCACTTTTAGTGCAGCTTTTCATGACTGAAGCAGCATAGGGGCCAATGCCTGGCACAGAAAGACTAGCTATTGTAAAGTACACTAACATAACAGGCTCATATTGCGTCTGGGTCATCCTTAAAATCCTGTTTTCTGGCTTCCTTTCTTTCAGTGCATCAGACCCAAGCTTTCTTACCTTAGTTTTTATGCTTAGAAAATCTGTATCTTCCTATTCCTAGTACTAGACCTTTGTTCTTTAGTATTACCTTTGTTTCTTACATACTCCCTCTCTGGCTTAGTTTTCTTTGTCCTGTGCTGATTGCCATCTACAACTCCAGAATCCATGGGGCAGACTCTGTGGCCAACTGGCTACACGAAGGCTCTCACACAAAAGAAAATAATTGAGAAGCACACTGTATTGAAGCAAAGTGACAGCAGCCTACATTCTGGAAGATTATTTACCATTAGCAGAAATTGTGCATATCCACAACAGCAAACCAATCCTACCTGTTCTGAGCCATGCCCCGTCCTGTAGACTACCAACTGCATTTGTAGGCGGGCACAGCTGATAGTCCTCTGCCTCAGACAAATTCCTGCTGGGTGGCTGCCACAACAGCAAAAATGTATCACACACAGGAGATTGTTCATACTTTTTCTACCTGAAACAACTACCTCTTACTTCCCATACAATATGCACCCTTCTCATTCTCATTTCCTTAAAAGCCTTGACCAAGATTGCTGTGCTGCTTGCAGGTTTGATGTCACCTGCCCTCCACCTCACCTGGATTTTCCTATCGTATCTGACTTGACAGTCTAAAAGATACTGAAAGGCAAGCTTGATATGTACCTTTCCTCTAATGACCTCTCCATAAACATTTCAGTGTGATAGTAATAACTATAAAGACAATAATGATAATAGCGGGAATAATGATTGCTATAAGGTGAGTGGTAGGATTACTCTTGAAATCAGCCTTAAATTTGAAGAAAATGGAGTAATATCCCTTCTGGAGAAACCAGAAGCACTCTCCTTTTGCAGGATGAAAGGAGATGAGGAATGTTGGTTGGCACTGAATCCCTGTCCTCTTGGGCCTTTAATGGGTTTCCTGCTCCCACAGGTTCAAAGAGCAATTACAGTCTCCAGCAAAAGTACAGCAAATGGAAAACAGATTCTTTGGCTCTCACTAAAGTGCCAAGAGAATAAGTAACCAAAGATGAAGGACTTGTAGTCACTTCATTGCAGTAGCTTATTGAGCTGAAGGGAAATCTCCCTCCCCGTACCCGTGTGGCCAGAGGAAGTCCCTAACACAAAAGCTGGGTGGTGGCAAGCCGATGAGAAAACCATGTTCACCCACATCCTTCGAGATACTCAGAATGGAGTGGAGGGATGGTCTGCAACATTCTGGGACTGCACAGCAAGATGCCTTGGGAGCTCAGCTCCTTCACCTCTCTGTTGTCTGGTGCCTTTGAATTGGCCATCAGAGAGGAACAAATCCAAGGTCTGAGGAAAGCAAGGGCAGGGCAGTTTCCTTTCTGACAGCAAATCATTATAAAGGTCTGTGGAGGTACGTATCCAGAACAGAGCAGCTGGATAAACAGATGGGGGCTGAGGAATCAGCCTTGGGTATCTGCAGCCTGATAGTTGCGATGCTTCCTAACGCACCAAGGAATGACATCCCCATACTCTTTGCAGAAAAGGAAAACTGTGAAGAGGAGGAAAAAAGAAGGGCCCAGGTCACTCAGACTCAGGATAATCCTCTCAGAGAGCAGCTGGATGTATGTACCACAGCGGGTTAATGCTCCGGAATTTCATCAGGAGAGACCAGCGGGCATGGGCACTGTGAGCTGCATGCTAATCTCCTGTGACGACCTGCGTAGGCCACACAAGATGGCCTCCAACAGGGCAACACCGCCCAAGCAGTTCCACAGGGGTCTGTGCAATCAAGCACTAAAGATTAAAAATGAAATCCACAGGAAAAGCAGGACTGGATTTAGGACCAGAATACCAGATATTTGGTTGCGTTTTTTTTGGTGTTTTTTTTTTTTTCTTCTCAGATCAGGGTTTTGATATAATAATTTAAAAACAAACAGAGGAATTAATTAATTAATGGAAGGCACTGAAAGTACAATGTCTGTATAAAAAGTATTGCCTGTCCAAAAGACAAACTTGCACTACTGTCATCGCCTACACCTGGTGCTGGGAAACACTTTCATGTGATCAGCAACACCTGCAGTATGAACACATCACAGCGCTGGTATGTAGCGAGTGAGATTTCTCTTCCATCTCTGAAAAGAGTCGTAACTTTACCAGCACATTTCTGATTTGGTATTCAGTAAGCTGTGTCATACATGGGAAACTAAATAAGCCTGTCTGAAGCAGAAAGCCCTTTGGGTTGCTTTGCATTGTGTTTCATTTCCACCTCAGATTACTCGAGATTAAATCCCATCACCGGCGGCAGAGAGAAATAAGTAATAAAGCAGTACCTCAGCAATAATAGCAACTTTGTGCTCAAACAAGGATACTCAGTGTCCAGCGACTGTACAGGTAGGTCACCTGGCCAGCTTAGCAACCAGAGAAACTTCTCCCTTAGAACTTACGTCTGGCACCATTCAGTCAGTACAGCACAAAGATGGGATGCAGCTCAACTCTGCAGTTTCTCAGGTGTAGAGGGGAAATTGTATACTTATATTTACACAACTGTGATGTAATAATTGCTAAGGATTTCCTTGGCAATCTTGTATTACAAATTGATGCTTCCTCTGGTTTTCCTTACTGACTATAGAGGGAGAAGGCATCCATTCTCTTTTTACCATATGGATGTGTAATTCCCCTTAAGCTAACAGGAAGCAAAAAGAAATTGGACCCTAATGAGGAAGGGTGCAAAGACGTGAATGAATAGAAGAATTCTTCTTAAAAGCTCTGATCTGGACCTATGGGGTGGTTTTCATTTCTGACCTCCTGCTGAGAGGTATGGACTACAGACA